CCAGGACTCCCCACCTTCCCAAGCCACCACCGGGCCGCAGGGGCCCAGGCCAGGACTGCCAGCCCCAGGGGCACGGGCTGCAGCTGGGAGGAGGCAGCCTGAAGCACCACTGCCAGCAGGGCCCAAGGGCCAAATCCCGCTCTCAGCTACTGCCCCGGTGTAAATTTAGAGTGACCACCCCCCCGCCCCTCAGCAGTGACCAGGGATTTGTTCAGTGTGAGATGGACAGAGCAGACCCCGGACAAGGGATGGCACTTCCAGGCAACCATCACGGGGCCCGGTGTGAGCACAATCACCTTGCAAAAGAGAGCAAAACTGGCAAACAAAAACATTGCTCCTGGCATGCAAGTACTTCCATATTGATTCGACACTTAAAAATACACCGAAGGAAGGATGCCCTTCCTTCACACCCTCCAGCAAATTCACTTTCACTCTCGGCAACCTGCGGTCTCCTCACCCCTCAGCTCCTTCACCCCGACGGCAGCAGCACCTTCCTACAACAGCATCTCAGCCCTCTGTTGCTGGACCCCGCCGGCCTCTGTGCTGCCTCCCCTCTAACGTCCTTCTAGAGGAGGAGCTGAAATTTCTGCAATGACCATCCTGCAACAGAACCCACTGTGGGCCTGGCTACCTGAGCAGAAGCCAGGAGAAATGCTCGCTGAAGTCTGCGGGGAAGCCTTCCCCCGGGAGGGCGGTGCAGCTGGGCTGCGGGCTGCGAACCTGCCCCCTCAGCCCTGCCTCTCCCGGGACGGGAGCCCATGCAGGTTTGCAAGCTGGCCGGATTAGGGTAGCTTTTCTCTAGTCAGAGGCTCTGGAAGGATTATTTGGCTGCAGCGTATCATATGACTTTGTTCTTAGAGTTACATTTTAACTGAGAAAGTTTAACAAGTATGACTTATGGGCTTCTAAAATTGGCAGCAGAAAAATGAGCCGAGGAAGTCATGGAAAAAAAACACAAGCGAGGCCATTCCATGTTATGCACAATTTCTGGGCTCTTTTTCCAATCTTCTGGTTTTTTGGATGGTGGAAAATATTTTCCAGCTACACAGGCCTGGCCTCACTGAGTACGTATTTATGCCAAGTTTATAAAAAGCAGCTGCAGACAGGGTTGAATGAAAGGATTACACTGCTGTCTGTCTTCCAGAAGGTGCTTCAGTTCACACCCTGTCCCACAGAGAGAAGCTCGTTTCCCAAATCTCCATGAATTTATGTAAAGAGGGACAAAATTTGAACCGCGCAATACAAACAGCCATGGCTGGGCATGCAAACGGGCATGCACATGTGCACACCTCGCGAGCTGGTTAGCTAGCAGCGGCTCCTGGCCATAGCTAACGCTGGCTTTTAGCACCTGAAGTTTACCACCACTCCTCCAACCTCTCCCCACCCCAAAGCCCGGTCCATCTTTCATGAATACAATGATGGGGAGAGGACTTTCAGGGCTGAGAGTCCCATCTCGGTGTACCTCTGCTGCCTACTCTCCAGCTGCTCCCGCTGAAATTCAGGCTTCACTACCCTCACTTACTCTCAGGCTGCCAGGCTTTAAGGCTAGAAGGGATCGCTGTGAGCGTGCAGGCTGGCCTCCTCCGCAGCACACTGCCACTGAATTTCAATCAGGAACCCGGGCAGTGGAGGCATAACCTTAATTTTCAGCCGTGTCTTGTCACAGCATTGGCCTGATACACTAGTCACAAGAGGAGAGTCACACATAATCCTTCGCTCCCCGAAACAGAATAGCTATGGGGGGTGGCGGGGAGGGCACAGAGTGAAAGTAAATGGATATAAAACAGTAAGATAGGTGGTAAGCTGCAGATCGTACATTACAGATCTGTACCCTGCTGATTTTGCAGTCGAGTATCTCAGAATAACAGCACCGAGAATGACAGCGTTACATCAGGAATATCGGTCAAGACAATATTTCCTGGCAATTGTTTGAGAAATGCTTTTCTCACAGCTAATTGCTCCCAAAAGGCTGTGTTTTCTCTGTTTTTAGAAGGACAGCAGTTAAGAAAGGTTTTTAAACCTCTACACCCTGCTGTGGGACAAAGAAATTGCGGGGGGGGGCCCGGCGGCAGGAGAGCCACATTGCCATCTAGCGGCGCCGCGCTGGGCAGCCAGACCCGACGGGGTCTCCCCGGGACCCCCCCTGCCCCCCGCGCCGCGCAGCGGGCACCCTGCCCGCACACGGGCGCCACTTGCCTTTCAGGGCTTTACAACCAAGCTCGGGCTACCACCAAACCGCTTGGTCGACAAAAGATAGGTGTAGGAAGGCGAGGGGTTTTGGGAAACAGGCCACTGAAAGGAAGTTTAAGCTGAACCGGGCTTTGCTGGGAAAAGCCGGGGCGTATGCCTTGAGGCCCGCAGGTTCCCATCTTTCACTGCCGCTGCGCACAAGTCTATGGTGGCCCCGGTGTGTTCTGCAGTCGTCAGGTGGACGCCTGCGGCAAAATGATGGGCTGGCAGGAACAGCGAGCGCTGCCTTGTCCCAAGGAGCCAGGCCTGAATCTGGAGCTGATGCTCAGTTCCCAGTCATGTCAGACCAAATGACCTGTGCGCCTGGATGCTATCTGCAGTGCCACCCCTGAAAATTTAACTCCACTGTGTGCCTCTGCGATGACAGATTTCCCTTCTGTTCCAAAAAGAATACAAATGCTAACCTTTCAACACTGAAAAACAAGAAAAGTCAAAATGCTAAGCCCCTTAGATATCAAAAGGCAGGCACTCTACCTTTTAGAAGGCACCAAAGGGCAGCAAATGATTTATTTTGTATGACCTTCACGCAGAGAGTTAAAAAGAAAAAAAGAGCGTTGGTGTATGTGAATTCTGATGTTCATTGAAAGATGTTACACTGGAAGGTTCTGGCTGCAGCAGACTTCTATTTAGCCAGAAAACAAAAACACTCCCAGTGCCTGAACTCTGCCAGAAGAGACCATAATTTTGGGAAGCAATAGAAGCAGCCTTGCATCACGCATCCAAGACTGCCCACAAAGCTCTGCCTCATGGCAAAGTGCTTTCTGTTCTTGCACTTCCCACTGGAAATAAATGACCACTCTCACACCTTATGGGCAATAAAGGGCGATTAGCAGCAGACTGCATTTGGCCCTGGTGCAAAGGACAGTATGTCTAGCTAATCATTAGCTCCATGCCTTTGGTCTCCGAGTCCTGTGAAGCTTCACAAGAGCACAGATGTACTGTACGTGCCCTAAACAGCCATGTCAAGACAGGGTGATATTCTTTGATATTAGCAAAAATAACATGGTCTTCCAAGAAGAAAGGAAAATGCAGTTGAGTTCCCCAAAATGAAGATAATCTATGCCACTCCAGTGAATCAGTCTTACAGCAGCATTCCTTCAAAGGCACAGAGCGATGACCTCTACAAATACTTTGGTGACTACAAATACTATGATGACATACGAATACTTTGAATTTACAAAATCTCTTCTGCATCAATCAACAACAAAGTTTGTGTTGTCATCCCTGGAGACCAAGCACACACCACCGGCAACGTTACCAGGAGATGGGGAGGCAGGATTTGAAGAGTAAGATTAAGAAACAGGAAAGGCCATGAAGGATCCTGAGTCTGAGCCATTGCTGGTTCTGTCAGGCTGCAATCTGTTTAATTTTTTTCTTTAAAGTCAGGGTGAGATCACTGGTTTTACTGAAAATGTGCTGCCCAAGGTAGGAGACATCCGTCTGTGAAAAGACCTACAGGCTAATGACAATATATTCTCAGGCTTGGTGAAAAAATTTTGAGGGCAACCCAGCAGAGAAAACACTGCCCCGCACCTTGGCAGAGTCTCATAGCAAACACAATCCTGAAAATGACCAAAACAAAGGGAGGGAGGGATTCTACCAGGAGCCAATTGTTTTCCCTGCTTCACATCTTATGACAAAAAGCATGGGGAGAGCACCGCCCCAACAGCAATACATTCTATCCCAGGGTCTCTGTGCTTTAGAAAACTAATTTCACTTATCAGCACATACTTCCAGGGTTGCCTAGAGAAGCCAAGGTGCCCAAGTGGTTAGATCAAGGTCCCACGAAGAACCAGACAGTCTGTTGCTTCTTGAGGGTGGCAGGACACACCAGTCTGATCCACCTGATCTTCTGGATATATGGCTACCACGTAGCCAGCTCCTTCCAGGCATATTCTCCTCTCCTTTCCAGATACTGGCTCCAAAGTAGAGAAAGGAGGATAGAGCCATCCTGGTCAACAGATCAACATCTGCTCCAACCTCAAGGAGTTTGAGGGTCAGAAGGAAGCTTTAGAAGGCTGCATTTTTTCTAAGGATGGGTCAACTGCCCAAAAACTGGGCTACAACCTTCTCTCAGTAGAGCACCTCTCCAGTTTTCAACTGTTTTTATCAGGTTGTCATGTATTCACAGTTTGCAATCCAACATCTAGGATGGATGCTGACTCACTGCATTGCTTTCTAAGCCGTTTGCCTTATTTATGCTTGCTTAATACGTATGTCCCAGCTTCCCTATTTGCATGATGGGGTCACCAAATTTCAGGCACTGCGGCACAGGCTGATTACTAAGTTTTGACAGAACAGTCAGAGATCCTTCTTAAAGTTGCCATCAAACAGCAAGCCAGACTTCTGAAAGACTGCTTCTTACATTTGCAATGCAGAAGCCACTTACAAACTGCAGGACTGCCAGCAGAGTAATTAACCCAGTGCTTGACAGTTCATGTTATTTGATTTCAGCTTGGGGGGGGGGACACGCAGAGGGTGTGTTTAAAAGACTTAAGTCTTTTCAATTACCGAGAGTGTCTTTAATACTTTTTTTTTGGTTTGGTAGGTTTCATGATTTATAAGCACACCTATGGTTGGTTGAGGTCTGATTTTTCCTGATGATACTAGAAACTACCACTGATTAGCCCACCAGTCTAAAAATAATGTGATGTAGAAAAGAAGCAAGCTTTAGAAATTTACACATAATTAAGATAAACAAAACACCCACCCAGTAGCTACCAAAACAATCATACTGTCCTAAACCTTACCTTCTCCCTTCCTGGGTCACTGTCACAATGTCCTGCTCTTGACTGCTTAGGTTTCCATGAGGAAAGGACCATGCAGAGTAAGTTACAGGATCAGGACCGCAGACTGTGAGCTTGCAGAAGCAGAGACTTCATCTTGACAGATTCTTCAGAGTGCCACACACATCTCTGCTGATACAGAAGTAATAATAATAATTTCATGCTAAGAATTCTGCCAGTGCCAATGGCCAGTAGATAACATCCCTACAGAGAAGTAAAAAAGGGCCCTTAGTTCTGCCAGAGAACTTCTAACATAAGCCAAGGGGCCTGGTGTTAAAGCTCAAAACTTTAGATGGAGAGATAAAAGCAAATTAAATGTAAATCAAATAGCAACTCCTCATGGTTATGCAAATTCAGCTGAGTGTCATTATAGCAAACACCAGAACTCCTCAATAAACATGGAGGCTGCAAACCAGGGTCAGATGGCCCTCCTCTTCTTTACATAGGCAAAAACTTCCACCTCCTTAAATTGTAGGAGCTGGTAGTCTTCCTTGCGGTTACTGACAGGACCAAGCAATTACATTATACCAGGTCAATGTGTGGTGAAAGTAAATCTCCATCAAAACCAGGCTGTTCCCACCAATAAGGAGATACTGCTGCGAATTGATTAGGCATGTACTATCAATTAAAAACACCAGAAGAGACTTTGTTAAAGAATATGCTTGCTCAAGAATCCCTTTTAATTAGTCATTGCATTATAATTAACACATTCATGCAATAATCATTGTCATTTTAATTATCAAAGCTGATACTACATTCCTTCTCATTAAATAATATTAAATACAACAAAAGATGCTTTCCAGATTGTTTCAGAGCTCCAGGAAATGCTCTTTTACATACATGCCAAAACAGGCAAAGATTGGTTCGTTACAGCAAATTTCTGTATCTTCCATGCTATTTTACAGGGTGTAACATTATTCAGATTGACCTAAGGAAGGAGGAGAAGCATGATTTGCAGAGACAGTATCTTTTATTAAACAGCTTCTTTCTCTAGATTCTTGCCATGTTTTAAGCAGATTTTGAAGAATTTCTTACTAACAAGTTGAATGTTTGGAAAAATGCTGATAGACAGCTACAAGGGCTGAAAACTTCCAATTACTTGTACGGCATCAACATAACACTCTCCCCCTGCAAACACACTCCAGGAAGCAGAGAAAAACCACTTCTGAGATGTAGGAGTAGCTGAAATTTGGTCTCGAGCCCGGGTGTCACTATGATACAAATAGCTGCCTCCAAGGCATGAGAGAGACCCCGCCAGCTCGCTTCACATCAGCTGCTACAGGATTGCAACAGGGTGAGTAGATTTTCCACCTTAAGTAAACCAGCAACAAAACTGCATCCTGTCACCAACCTATAACATCTTGTCTCTTTTTTTTTTTTTTTTTTTTTTTTTTTTTTTTGGGTTGGCTCTCCTCACACAGGCCATCACAGCCAGAGTCCAACTCCAGGCAGAGGCTCAAGATGCAGATTTCTCTCCCAGCCCTACTGCAGCTAACAGGTGCTCTCCTTTCACTCCAGCTAGCAAAGCTCATCCAGCTGGGCATGGGAAAACTCTTCCCTTGCACACCTGGGAACAAGATTCAGTTGCATTTTAAGCAGAGTTTAAGTTGTACAATGCAGCTGGCTTATCTATATACTTGGTTAGTGTTGAGGGACGGAGAGAAAGAAAAGGGAAATCCTTCTAATCATGTCATCACAACAAACCAAACACACAGGATTTAAAAAGCCAAAATTAGGTGTCAGTAGAAACATACACCACTGCTGCCCCACTGATCCTGTCTTACACGCTGTACCAAATGTGCCTGGACAAAATGCTGCATTGCATCATGTCACCAGACAGGAAGATTCTAAAAATTGGGATTTTGCAGGATGAGCTTGCACAGAATGTGTGTGCAAAACTGCCCTCTGCTGTTTAGATTCAGACTGCTCAAATAAATGTGTGTGGCCAATTCAGTTTTTAGTTGTAAGGGTCCAAGTCACGAAGAGCAGAACTATCTGACTTCAGCTGTTTTCTGCCTTCACGCACAGTAGAAATTTCATACATGAAAGGCACTCAGAACTGTCTTGCAGCACAGACCATCTGGACAGATTTGCAGGCTGTAGCAAGACTGTGCTAACTGCAACAAGACTCCATTCAGCAACTATCATGTAGTAGGTGAGCACCAGTGGACATCCTCTCACTCCTCTCACCCCAAAGATGAGCCAAAAACACCCTCAGGGTGTAAGGGAAATAACGGTAAAGGTGAGCATGCGCTGCAGGAGGACATGCATCTCTCAACCCGTTAAATCAAGGACTGACCTTCACAAAACAGGAACCGCAACTGTATGTCTGGAGTCAAAAGCTTATAGCACAGAGGCCTCTGAGAGCTCACGATTATTAGGTTACGGCAGTGATCGGAAAACAAGGTACTGACCTTATCAAAAGATGTCCAGTAAATATTCTGTAAAACTAGCACCTGTAAGCCCCTACTGCAGGGAAAGAAGTGAGAGCCTGGATTTTCTTTTCAAGAACATACGGAAACCACTGTACTTTGAAAAAGCTGCCCGTTATCCAGTGCCAGTATGCTGGACAGTTTGGTACAGAAACATCATGGAAGGGCCAGCTGTTTTCTATGGCTTCACTCACGCATTCATACACGGACTTGGCAAATCCTGCCCTCCGAGAACAGCATCGGATGTCCACATCTTCTTTGGGAAGCTCTGTTTTGGTGCAAATGCAGAAAACAAGTACTGTTACCCGCAGCAGAAGCTCAGTTTCTGAAGCGCCTCTCATGAAAATTAGCCCAGCCCTCCTGCATTAAGTGCAAGTTTCAGCTCTTTGCAACAGGTTTTTGGCCAGATTTGACTGCTGTGCAGACAGGGTTTTTTTGGTCACTGCATAAAGGAGACCGTAAGCTATACTAGTCAGTGTAAACACACAAATTAAAAACCGAACTAATGGTTGAGTACAATGGAAGCCTTGAAGAAATTATTTTTTTTTCACATCAGCCCTTTTCATATCCACACGTTTACAAACGTAGAAGCACGGGTGTATGGTACAACATGCCTTTGAAACACTCACTAAAAGCACTTCATGACCACTTCAAAGATTCTCTTGAAGTTTAACTCATGTTAATTTTAACACAACGGTCACATAGGGCCACCGTTCAGCCTAAGGGACTTTAAACACACCATCAACAGATGTACAAATGAAACTTTAGAAAGATTCTTCTGGGTGCATAAATAGCTGGAGCTTTACTTTGATGATGGCTGGCTGGCCTCCTACACAGCAGGGCTGTGACTTCTCCTTTTTTCAAGTTAAGGGTAACAGTAATATTCTGTCATCCCCCAGGGTAAGGAAATGAGTGCCAGATGATTCAGTGTGTGCCTGATCACTCTGGGTTTGGATTCAATTCCATTATCTAGAAAACTTAATGGTGTGACATGAAAGGTAGTCCTGAATGATCATGAAACTAGTTGGGTTTTTTTTCTACAAAAGCTGCCCAAGAAGCTCATAAACAGTGATAGGAGACTTCACAACATAAAACTAACAGATCCCTGATTTTCTTTGAGAAACCCTCTTAGTGCTGAAAACAAGTGCCTTGTTCTTGGAGCACCCCGGAAGGGAAATCGGCTCTTTCTGGGAGAATGATTAGTAGTTTTACCTGCAGTAAAGTAAGATTACAGATCTTATTCACCAGCAGCTGTGAGCTCCGCAGCAGCAAATCCACAACTGAAATGGCTCACTGCCACTCTTAATTTGCACAGGTGAAAAGAAATACGGTCCTGTGCACAGCCAACCCAATGGCATTACTACTATTACTGCAGTAACATCCACTGTTACCACTGCACTTCTGATGGCCTGCGTTTTGCTCATGTCTGAAATCAGCCTCCTACATCTGTGGGCTGTGCATGCCAGCTAACCCAGCATCAGCCTCCCATTGTCAGAGCAACAGCAAATTCCGGTTCCAGACAATACCTTCAAGTCTTCACAGTCTGTAAGGTATTAGCTTCATGGAAAGATTTGGGGAAAAAAAAATCTTAAGCCTTGTTAAAAGGATTCATCATTGCCACCTTATTAGCCAAGGCACTCAAAACAGGTATCAGAGCTTGCTCTAGCATACCAACCAGGTACTTCTGGGTTATCAAATATGAGAACAAATTTGTACTTAAGGCTTCATTTAAACCCATGCTACCTAAAATTCTCTTTGCATCCAACTTTGCAGGATCAAGAAAACTAAAAAGGGTTAGATTAATATGTGCGTCTATGAAGTTTATTAAAGCAATGACCATTTGTAGACGTGATCAGACTTCCACCAAAATCAGAATTGATACCCAGGTTTGCTAGAACATATTTAGTTCAGGAGAGCTTTGCTGTAAGCTAAATCGTGAATTCAAATTGTCATAATTATACCAAAGAGTGTAGAAAATTGTTCAGGTTTGAAGGAAGGGTGCCACTTTTGTCTTATGCTGTTTGGGTTTGTTTTTCAAGGCAGGATGTAAGAGTTTGATTTACCTTAAGATGACGTTAAAAGCTGAACCAAAAAGCTGAAATTTTACACTGAAGCAACCACCACCAGCAAGGACAGCAGGTAAATATGCTGACAGTTCTGTCAGCATAACCTGTGAATTCTTACTTTTTACTTTTAAGGGTTAGAAAGGAAAAGAAAGAACTCCTCCAAAAAGCCTCACCGTACTCGTTAAAAATAGAACCTTCTGCAATATCACAGTATTTTTATTAAGTTATTCTAGGTGCAGAATAACTTTGTCCCTCTAAAACAAATTAAAAGGAAAAGACCAAGCCAGCCGTTGTCACCTGAAGATTGTGGCTAAGTTTTACTTTTACCTTATAGTACCTGAACAACTCATGCACAACAAAAAAGACTAAACTACAGCCAGCTGTTCAGGAATTTTTGTTCAAACCAGCCACATTACATTCTGTTGCATTACAGAAAGATTCAGTAGCACCTCAAATCTTGGGAAATTGTGTTTTCAAGTGATTAAGGGAGAAAATCTCTTCCATAGCAAACAGTCTAAGCAGACTGACTCAGTAAGAGCCATTTCTACTCCCAAACTCAGGTACTTGACTGCTAGGTGACCATGAACTATCCACTTAACCTCTCAAAAATTCTGTGTGAGGCAGTTTCTGAAACATCGAGACCTATGGCTTGGAAGAATCTGCCTTTACAGAAATTTACACCAGGCTGAAACGAGACAGATGGGAATGTTGTCTAAAGTGCTCTCAGAGTATCTCACTTCTAACTTGGACTACGTCACCTAATACCTTACTATTAAAGTATGAGCATCTTTAGCACACTATCAGCTGGTCTGAAAGACAGACACCTTGAAGCATTCTTCTCCTTAAGTTAAAACAAGTCACCATGCCAAAAATAGAAAGCTACATTTTTAATCGTTTCTTCTGCCACCTGAGTGGCGATAGCACAAAACGAGGGAACAGTAGAAGCCAATGTTTTGACATTTAGAACATCCTATCCATGGAAAACTTGCTTTCAGAAGTATGCTTCTGCTACTCACTCGAGTCTGTATTATTATTTACCTCCTTTTCACCGGCAAAGGAAAACTTACCTAACCTCAAGTTTACAGTATCACACCAAATCAAAATTTTACGTTGTCTTTCTAATTCCTTTAGCCAGTTTAGCCTGGGGGTATCATCATCTTACCTTATCAGTGCAATTTTTTTAAGGCTGTTAACAACCATTTTCTATGATCTTGAAAAATACACACTGAAATGTTAAATGCCTATTTTGCAGAAAGATTTCAAGCTTTCCCAAAAAAGCTCTTAGGATCTGCCCCAGGTTCTATTTCAAACAGCTTTATTTCAGACACCTGCATTAACAGAGCTTTCATGTTTGCCAGATACAGTTTTGACTTGCATCACTTTAGATGTTATTGCTCCTGACAGAAATGGATTTGTCATTCTTTCTGCAGCCAGTTACCTATTACCATCCTGATTTGCATCTCTTGCTGAGGTGATCGGTTACTATTTAAATGATCACATGTCTATTTTCTCAGAAAATGACACAAAGTTTTAAACTTAATTAAAAGCATTGGAAGCCCAGCCATAACATTAAATGTAAATTTTAATGTTAAGTCATTTTTAGATCATTTGCTCTGACACCCAAATGTTCTGAAATTTAAAGTAGTACTATAGGGACACACAAGTGCAGATAAATCTTTATTGCCATAACTTTGTTTTTTCAAAAATGAGCATTGGGTTTTTAATAGGTCGTAGTTTTATGTCTTTATATGTACAACATTACAACTGCATATTGTAATAATAATGAAGTTAGTGATACTTTGATAACTCAACACAGTGTATTTATAAAATGAATTCTTATCAAAATACACTTTTCACTGGGATAATAAATAAAATCCTGTGAAACCCACCTACACAAAGTTAATTTTAACTCTGGTAGAACCCGATGTGGTACACAGTCCATTAACTACTATGTTTGCCCCTTTATCCCCCTACTGATGCTCATCTTCTGGGGTAAGAAAACATTTTTTTTTCCCCCTGTTGTGGTGTGACCTCATTCAACATCATCTTCAGCCAAGCACTGTGCACTTACAATTCTCTGCAAGAAGGAGAAAAACTCATTCACAATTACATAAAATTGACAGCAGGCAACTGTTTATCAAGCAATGTAATTTTACACTGAACATTAAGCAGTGTAATTACTGAGCAAATTGATTAATCTTAAAAATGGTAATCTATCTGACAGCAGTTTTTGAAGTCAATTCCGCAGAAATTACATACTGTGCAATGCCTCACACAGCCAAAGTCAGATAAATAACGTCTGATCAATGATGGCTTCTGTGTGGGTTTTGGCACTATTCTCTAAGGAACCATTTTTGCTCCGTTGTTTCCCCAGACCTTGACATCTTGCATACCTGACACTTCTCAGTGTTTTTACTAACTATATGGACCTTAAACCAAAATGTAACCAGGCCTAAGCTGTAAAGAGAGCTGACTGACGCACAGCACTGAGTCTCTGCTTTATGTGAGGTAACACCATTAGTGTTAACACCAACACCCTTGCATTTCCAAGAATGTAAAACATATTATATATTTTACAATAGACTCACCTGCTAGCATATTACCAGCATTACCTGCACAGTACTCAGGCTAAAAAGGGAGGGCATTTTATACACAGAGCTGTGAACACTTTTATCATCAGGGAAACCCCCAAGCTTCCAAAATTGTCATGAGTTCTGGTGATAGTTAACATTTTGTGTTTACAGCTGGCCCAGAAGCAACAGGGTAGCAAAAGAAACAGGTATTAATTCTAATGGACTTTTACAGCACTTACAGACGCTTGTATACCTATAATTAAAAAAAAAAAAAGCAAAACCTCAAGACCCAGTGCAAGAAAGTTACTGCTTTTCAAATCCCCCAAGTTGTATTTGGGAAACAGTGGATCCACTTATAGTATCAGAGCTGCGGTCAGATGTCTCTAATTTAGAAGAGCTCAGCAGACCCTGCGTGTGAGAGTTCTGTATTTCTCTTTTACCCTGTTTGCTATTAATGCTACATGATATTTTTTGTATACACTTTTTAATGTTTCAGGTGAAAAAAAGCTTATTTTAACCCAACTGAACATATAAAAAAACTTATTACAAAAACCATTACTCAAGACTGATGTGGCAGATTAGAAAAGTAGTTACTTTCAAACCAAAACAGAGGGGAATGTTTCACATACCTGGCTTATTGTAGGGAGCTTAGTTAGAAGCATTTGAAACACCGGCGGTGGAAGAGTCTGCTGTAGAACTTGTAGTAGCTGCTGCGGCTGTCCACACACAGCAATGGCATTGGTCAAGTGATCAACACCTTTCTCATATTCACCTGCATGACAAATCATAACATTTTGATATCAACCTTCTTCCACACTATAAAGTATTTACATAAAACATCCGCCAACAGTGGATTAAATTAGTGAGAATCAATCCAGACTTTTCTTTCCTCCTCCCTTGCTGGATCTTCCAAACACAGAAGGTCAGAAACAAGTAAACAGGTTTTCCTAGGTGAGTTTGACTCCCCAGAAGATCTTAGTACATAAAAATCATCTTCTAGCAAAGGTAAAGAAAAATTATTTTACAACTTACCCTTAAAAAAAAAAAAAATGCTATTACCTTGAGCTAGTAGTTCCTCGCCAAGCTGAATCTCCTCAAGGAAAAACTTCTGAACTGCTTCAGCATCCTTCAGATCAGGCAACTATAATACACAGAGTAAAACTGAAGTTGGCCCTCAAATACCAGTTAATAAACAAATTAGCAGAAAACATTCTCAACTGAAATCAAATACACACACAACCATACTGTTACACTGAAATGGGGAAAAAAATAATTAAGAGTGTCACTTAAACGTACACAGAATGTTTCTGAAAAATCAGACTCAGGTCTCATATCATTGCATCACAAATCTGTAGAGAGACAGAGCCTGAAAAGCCTCTAGTCAGTTTATTAAGCACCCAATTTTGTAGCAAATGTAATTCTAAGGTGTGTTATATTTACCACAATTATATTTCTTACAGTTCGTTAAGATAAATCTATCTTTTCTTCCAGGATCCAGTGGTGATAAGGAGAGACAAATCAAATACTTATAGCAAAAAACTATCAAGTTCTGTTATAGGTGTACCCTGTCAATGATTTTTAAATCTGAAAAGTCCTTGCATGTACTACAAAGTACAAAACACCATCAAATCACACAGTAAATGTTGTACTTTCTAGTATAAGGACTCTACCTGACACAAAAAAGGAACAACCTTTTCAAACGGTTATCTGTAAGCATTAAGAAAACTAAATGCTGCATTTTTGCAGAAGTGTCTGTAACTCTGGAATCAAAACAGATCTTTAAATGAATCTTACAAATAATACAAAGGAAACATCTTTCAAAATAGCACTGCATTACTGAAGACAGTATTACCTTGGAAAGCCCTGCTCTCTCTTTGGCAAGCTTCTGTTTCTTCCTTCCTGTAAGAATAAAAAAAAAAAAAAACACTTTTTAAATTTGCGATTAAAAAAGCCTTCAGATTAGAGTTCAAAACCATGAACAAATCACAGTTATTTTCAAAATAAGAAACTGCCAACGTATTCCCAATAGTGAAGACTGAGCACAAGACTGCAACCCACCCTCTGCAACAGGATATCATTTAGAGGTCTAATGAGGGCGGGCAGTAGCACGCCAACTCAAAATGGTAACACTCCTCCTGCTGGCTATGTTAAACACCAACTGTGCAGGGCCTGCAGCAGAGCATACCTCGTGCTCTAGAGGCATGAAGGAGGAAAGAGAATAAGAGTCATATGGGATTTCTCTACACGATTTCTAACAATACCGAGCCCCAGAAGAACCGCCTGTAAGTCAAGGTTATCTAATTTTGAACTGTACTGTGCACCATCAACAGAACTTTAGCAGGTCACCATACATAAGTGTACTTTCCCAGTTGCTTTATAGCAAAGACTTGGGAATGAGTTAAATAGGCGGCAGTATCTCCTCACCCTACAGCAAGAGCAATACTAAAGCATACAATCCTGAAATATGAGGAAAGCAAACATTTACAGATTGAACAAACATTTACAGATTTAACTGTCCACCTTAAAGGCAAAAAGTTGGTCTGCAACATAAAGTTGTACCACTCCAGCAAAACTAGTGTAATTAAAATGATATATAGCTTGCTTTTAATGCAATTAGGCAGGTATGAAGATATTTTACAGTAGTAGCTATTCATACAAGAAAGAATAATTATAGTAATGCTGATGATTTCCTTAGAATAATAATTTTTGTAAGTCACCAGTTCATCAACTGAAATAGTTACACCAATATAACTGTTAAATACAGCCTATGGTTAAGCAACTGCACTCTTACTATTTGCCCTCAGTGTCTGCTTGGTGAACATTTATGTTGACAAAGAACAACTGTCACACATCCCTGATTTTTCTTTTGAAACAATTTTACAAGCTAAAAATACTTCCAAATACGACTAGCAGTTTTAATGGAAATGAGTTAAAAATTTGCGATTGTCCACACAACGAAGACATTCAAGAATACTATTTCCTAGTAGTGATAATGTAACACGTGAAATTTATGGACAAGATCAAGTGTTCTTTAAATAAAGGGAGTTCACATTCTAACTACATGGATCACCCTTTTACATTCCATGATACCTTAATAATGATTAGCACCTGAATTTCTACCACTTACCAACCTGTATATGTTATCTTACGACACCACAGGCAGAAAAATGTGTCAAATAGAACTGTAGCAGGCTATAATTCTAATGTTATGGTTGTTTTCAATATTAAAGAAGAATTCATCTCTTGAGAGTTGGTGCCTTCAATTGGCTTACTCCAAGTTTTCCAAAGCATTAATTTGCACAAAATTTTAAACTGCACTACTGTGCAAACCGGTTTTGCCAATACATAAAATCTTAGAGGTGAAATTAAAAAAATAAATAGTAGTATCTGAAATATTTCACTATCAAAACAAGCCACGTTGCAACTGTAGTGCATGCAGTGAAAATATCAATGAAAAGTAAAAAGAGTAACAGCTTGATATTTGTACATAATTTTCAGGAGAAAATTATGTTTTCTTGGCGTGACTATGACATCTTCTAAAATATTACATGTATCAGTCACCAAGTTAAGCATTCAGAGATAAAGAAAAAAAGAGACATGCTGGTAACTATAACTATTTAATAAAAGCTTTTGACCACTGATCACACACATATGAAATCACATACTTTAACCTGAAAATAGTAAAGGAATGTGAAGAATCACCAAGATTTTCAAACTGAACACTGAGCTACAGAATCTTTCAAGTCTGATTACTACGCAATTTTTCTTCCTCTTCTTAACATATTTTTACAGGTCTCTTTATAAGTCCACTAGCCAAAATAATTACAAAAATCAAACAGCTCAAAAGTATATTTAGAATCATAGAATCATAGAATGTTTAGGGTTGGAAGGGACCACTAGTGGTCATCTAGTCCAACCCCCCTGCAGTGAGCAGGGACACGGCTACCTAGATCAGATGGCTCAGAGCCCCATCCAACCTGGCCTTGAATGTTTCCAGGGATGGGGCCTCCACTACCTCTCTGGGCAACCTGTTCCAGTGTTTCACCACCCTCATTGTAGGAATTCCTCCCATACTGGTTGGTAACACTAGTTTTAAAATATCTTTGCAACAACAGCCAGAAGTCACATTTGTAATACAACAAGCAAAAAGCAATGGCTTTGGGCAGAGGGGAGGGGGAAAACACCAAAACCAAATGCAGCTTAAAAAAAACTCAAAAACTTTTTTGTTTTACTTCAGGGACCTCCAAGAAAAATGAAAAAAACTTCCCTCTTTTCTAAAGACAGTATCATATTTAAAAAAGGGGAAGGGCAATCTTTCATAGAAGGCACCTTAGTTAATACAGAAATGCAGATGAATCTATCCAAACCAGAAAGCTAAGCCGTAGCCCTCAAACTGCAGGTGACTTGCAGGTTCTTCAGCTCTTGGACATGGGGAATAAGTTTCAGATGCCAGCCAACAGATGTGCTGGCGTGGGTTGCAAAAATCCCAGAGTTGCCCCAGCAGCTTCAAAACCAGTCCCACAAAGGAGCAGAGTGACCAAAGAGCTGTCTGCACATTCAGCTCCCATCCGTGAAGTCTGCCTACTGTTCTCCTCTCACTCAGCTGTCTGGGCAGAAGGAGCTCTGAGGCAAAGATCAGCACAGTCAGAAGTTCTGGCTGTCTCTGAACAAAGAGATCAGTGTCTAGACTTGTGTTCAGAACAGTTCTGGTTCAATACGTTCAAGAACACCAGTAGTAAACACATCTAAACTCAACTTAAAATATAGCTGCGGAAACAAAGCAGCTCCAAGATAGCTTTGCTATCTTTTGGTCCCAAGATTAAATATGGACATGCTTGCAAACTAGCAGCACAATAACCTAAAATAACACAAAACCTGCTAAATAAATAAGATTAAGACATCTGGAAACCCAAAGTCCAGCAGTTCTTCAAGCTTCCCAGGAAATCACCTTTTTTTTTCCCCGAAACCTGGATCTGGCCACCTCATTGTTATGATGGGTCTTTGTAATGTTCATTCACTTTGGTCCTAATACAGCCCAAAGAGACGTACAATATAACTGGCATGGCAAAAAAAAATAAAAAATATTGGTTCTTCATTTGTCAGCCTGTGCTTGACCAAATACAACAACCTGACATGTAGGATCTCCTGTCCTTCCCAGACTTTGATGGCACTGCATCAGAAGGGCTGAAAAACAATCCTATCCTAAGAACATTACTGGAAAAGATCTGCTGCAAAGGTGGCTTCTACGAGTTTTTCATCAAACACCCCTACTATTGCCTGTGAAACAGTGTATCTTCATCTAAAGAACTACAACTGGCTGCTGCATTGGACCTTTTTTGTCAAATATTTAACAGCACAAACAGTAAACCCGCTGTAATAATCAGACCACTGGCACCACTACAGAAGCACCCATACTAAAGAATCAGTCACAGTACTAAAAATAAAAATAAGCCTTACAACTAAAGCTGCCCAGTGTATCACATCCAAGGATCCTAAGTGATACAGTGATGCCATCCAGATGACAACAGCCATCCCCTATCAAACCACAATGGCTTTCCACTTTAAAGAAAGTGTTAATTCTTAATCAGAGCAAGTCTAAGGTTCATTCAGAACATTACTGGATAGAAGCTCAGATAACAAAAACAATGGGCTGCAGAAATCACTGCCAGCGCTTCTGCAAAAATCTTATGTAATCCAACATTTTCTCTACTACATACTTAACAACATAAAAAGAACATGGCTTGCAAGACAAATATGTACCAGTTTACTACACTAAAAATTCCCAATCAATGTCTTGCACTGCAGAGCGAAAAGTACTCAGAAAACACACAAGAAGTATGCGGCTATGGTCCTGCATACACAAGCAAGGGCCTGGAGATGCAGTGTTCGAAAGACAACTTGCTGTGGAAGAGCTTACAGAAAGCGGACTCAATACACTGTTAAGCATTGACACCAGTCACTCAACAAATTCAATCCACTAAGACAGAATCAAGGCATTTAATTTACGTTTAAACATAACCAGGTAAATACTAATTTTTAACCCATCTAGTTACCAACTCTTCCATTGAGGAAACTGCTGATCATGTTATGTTTACTTGCTGAGAAAGTTTACCTTAATGGTAATTTATTTACTGCAGATTAGTTATCAAAGGAACACTATACATATTCCCATGATAGAAACAACCCAGCGCAACAAATCTCAGCTTATTTCTTGTGATTTGTTTGAGTACCTTGGATGAATTTGAGCACCTGGAGTAGTCACGCTTACAGTTACACCTAAAACCTTCACTAATTATTAAGGCTTATTTAAATAAATGTTGAAGACGTGAAATAATGAAGAGCCACGGGAGAAGAGCTCTACATTTTGGATTAATCAACAGTTTTCTCTGGCATCCATTCTTATCCTGGGAGCCACTAACAGAGCTGCCAGGAGGGTTAAGAATGCAGCACATAAAATACCTGAGGGCTGTCATCAGCTCCTGCCTTACCACAGTAACAGCCTCACTGTAAGAGATCACGTTGCTTTATCTAATGGTCTCACAAAATAAATAAAAAATATAAATAAACGTCACAGAAGCGCAGTGGCGATAATAGCATGCTTGAGGATGTAGGACAAGGAAATTTAAAAAAAAAAAAAAAAAGAAAGGGCGGGAGGTGAGCTATTTCCAAGGCGCGCTTCTGCTGCGGAAACCGGAGGTTACCCAATAACGACACAAATTGCAGAAAACGCGCTCCGACAAGAGGACCCGCCCCCGGTTCGGGCAAAGGGAGGCCGAGAGGCAGCACCGCGCGGGGGCCGCAGCCGCCCCTCACAAGCGCCCG